TAACCACTCGATCATAAGCCCGCTACGTGATCGCTTCCAGCACTTCTTACTCAAAAACTTTTGTTCCCTGTATGAAGCAATTGTTTGCTAACTGGGTTAAAGGAAGCATAAGCGTGTTCCATTGCCAAGAACTGCTCATTGTGAAGAACGCTGTAATCGACTTAACTACTCTTCAAAAAGTGCGTTACCTTTGGTGAAGGTACAACTGAGAACGAAGACATGATTCTATCAGGATACTCCTCCCGAATTTTGGAGATGAGGAGAGTTCCCATACCCGAGCCGGTACCTCCTCCAAGCGAATGAGTCAATTGGAAGCCCTGTAAAATTGGGAGTTTATGATATCCTAACGGATATATTGAGAGATAAAAATGTCAATAATACGCTTGAAATGGCTACAAAATTATCTTTTATAAGATATGCCTCGATATTACCTGAAGACAGTCACATCCTTCAGCTTCTTTCCTCACTACATCTAAAACATTGTCCACAAGCTCAGCCCCTTCAGTGTAGTGACCTTTCGCCCAATTGTTTCCTGCGCCAGACTGTCCAAATACATAGTTATCAGGGCGGAACAATTGCCCATATGGCCCGGAACGGACTGAATCCATAGTTCCGGGCTCGAGATCAACAAGAACTGCACGCGGGACATATTTGCCTCCTGAAAGACGCCATTTCGGTTCGGCTACATTAATTTCCACTGCATCACCGCCTGCAGGGTATTGCGTAATCAGTCGTTGCAAACGAGGCCGATCGATATTTCGGCTTGTAAAAAATGAGGGATATGGCAGAGCGGCCGACGAAATTCAGTGACTAACCATGTGCTTCATTATAGTATACATTGATTCGCTCCAGCTGAAGATCAGATTCTCCGTGGTATGTTCCATCGGGCTTGATACCGTGCTCATCAGAGATCACTTCCCAAAACTGAAAAAAAGGTTGGAGTATTGAGAGTTGAATTCAACAATAGATGTAAATAGTTGTGTATAGACAAGACTCTGAATGGATTGGAACGAATTCAATGGATTGCGTGTTATCTTTCGAGAGGATTCCTACATTAAAAAACTGCACAAACACGGCGATGAGTCACCAATACTACGTAATAATTACTTTTTGTTACTTCAAAACCTTTGCATCTTCACTTCCCCATTGTAAGTTGAAATATAATACAAAAAAA